CTTGGCCTTCGGCGGCTCCGCTGGCGGTGTCCCGGCCCTCGGCTCGTGCGCGGCCTCGTCCTTGAGCAGCCTCGCTGGGCGCCGTGACGAGGTCGCCGTCGTCGCCGCCGCCGCGGCTGGTCGCCGCTCGCCGTTCGTCGCCATTCGGCACCATTCGTCGCCACTGGCCGCTGTTCTCTGTTTGCCGTTCGCCATCGTTCGCCGTTCGCAGTTCGCCTCGTCGCCGTCGCCGTTCGTTGTCGCCGTTGGCCGTTCGTCGTTCGCCATCCGCCGTTCGTCGATCGTCGTTCCTCAGTCGCCGTCCCTGTCGCCAACGTCGTCGTCATGCACTAACGTCGTCGAAGGAATGAGGAAGAGGAGGAGGAGGAGGAGGAGGAGGAGGAGGAGGAGGTGGGTGAGGAGTAGGAGGGAAAACGATTTTGCCAAGTTCTAAACGGCTCTGTTTTTGCCAAAGAGGTTCAAATGGACAGATGGAAGACGAAGAGAAGGGGGAAGAGGAGGAGGGAAAGAAGAGAGAGGATGAGATAATCAGTCATAAGGTTATCGAAAGTCTCCATCAGCCTCGGGGATTTCAGAAGTTCCTCAAGTAGGCTCTCCTTGAAGGATCATTCCTTACTTGGCTGCCAGGTGCCAGATTGCTCACTCCCAGCAGGTCAGGGGCCCTCGAGCGACGCGCACTGATTCCTGAGCCCTCGAGCTCGTGTTCCTCGTATGCTCAATGCTGTCATATTCTGCCACCGGAACCACGCGTGCCTCGCGCGCTTAGGTTCTAGTGCAGACTGGGGCAGCAACGTCTCAGCCACGGACGCACAAGGATCAAATCTCATCATGATACCCCTTTTCCTCCCCCTCCCAACAGCCTCCCTCATCTCCTCCTCCTCCTCCTCCTCCTCCTCCTACTCCTCCTCCTCCTCCTCCTCCTCCTCCTCCTCCTCCTCCTCCTCCTCCTCCTCCTCCTCGTCCTCCCCCGTATGGGGGCGATGTTCGGGGCCCTGGGGGCCGTCATGTAGCGCGGGCAAGCGGAAAAGGAAGAAACCGCAAATCAGAAGGGCCGACTGGAGGCGAACCTGAGCGATTCGGGAGGCTCTCGAGGTTCTCTTGGCACGTCTGGAAGGCGTCCTGGACGGCTCTCTGGACGCTGGAGAGGGCGCCCGGGGACCCCAGAGCAGCCATGGTGACGCGAAGCACCTGGGCGAAGGCCCCCGAACCTGTATCGCTATTACATATATATATGTGTGTATATGTATGTATAGATATACGCATGCATACAAATATACATGCATGCATGCTTACATACATACATACATACATCCATACATACATACATACATACATGCATGCATGCATGCATGCATGCATGCATACATATATACATACATATATTCATACATACATACATACATACATACATACATACATACATACATACATACATACATACATACATACGTGCATGCACATGTTGAACATACAGAAAATATTCACATATACACGCATACATACACACCTACATACACACACATGACATGTATACATACATACAGACATACATACATACATGCATGCATGCACGCATGCATGCATGCATACATGCATACACGCATACCAACATACATGTTTGCATATATATATATATATATATATATATATATATATATATATATATATAATATACAATGTGTATGTATATCGGAGTGAGGGGGCTGAACGGTCATTCATTGTCCCTGGGTGCGTGGCTGAAGTGAGAATCCGTGGTGAGGATTCTGCTTGTTGCGTTGTTGCTGCTGCTGTTGTCGTTTGAACTCTCGCTTCAGAAGAATAATTATTGTTGACCCCCCCGCCAGGTGCACATTGCATTTGTCCAATTGAAGTGCCCCTCCCAGGGCTCGCGCTCCCAGGGAAAGTCCTGAAGGTCAATCTGTGTCGTTGGCCCCCGGTTTACAACAACAACCACAACAACAACAACAACAACAACAACAACAACGGCTCCCGTCTGATACTTCCTCACAATGTATTGGAGAATCGCGCTCTCGCTTTGGACTTCATCGCAATTTACCACCGAATCGCTGCTCCCGCCTGATACTTCCTGATATTGTATTGCCAAATCGCGTTCTCGCTCGGGACTTCCTTTCAACTTACCACCAAACCGCTTCGCTTGATATTTCCTCACAATTTATTCAGATGCCGGTCCTCGGCACTCAGGAATCGCGCTCCCGTTACATATGGCCTGGCGGTTCAAGCAGGACTCACACTTCAACGACCCGCCCGCTGGACCCGCCCGTCGGGGCTTGCCCGCCCGACCTGCCCTTCGCCCGCCTTCGATGCCCCTCGCTGCCCGTACTGGTTCCGCGGTCGCCTTCGCTCGCTGCTCTTCGTGGCCCTTTTGCTGCCCTCAGTGGCCCCGTCGTTGCCCTTTGTGGCCCCGCATTATATGCCCTTCGTGGCCCTCACTCGCACGCGCCCGTCGTAGCCCCATACGCATTCCCTTCGTAGCCCCGCTGTCGCCCTTCGTGGCCCCCTCGCTGCCCTTCGTGGCCCCTTTGCTGCCCTCAGTGGCCCCTTTGTCGCCCTTTGTGGCCCCGTATACGAGTGCCCTTCGTGGCTCCCGCTAGCGCGCGCCTGTCGTGGCCCCATATGCATGCCCTTCGTGGCCCCGCTGTCTCCTTTTGTGGCCCCCTCGCTGCCCTTCGTGGCCCCGGTGCTGCCCTCAGCGGCCCCGTCGCTGCCCTCTGCGGCCTCGGATTTTATGCCCTTCGTGGCCACGCTGTTTTTTTCACGACTTCCTTGGGAATCGCGCTAACGCTCGAGACTTCCTCGCGATTCAGGCAGGACCCACGTTTCAGCAACCCGCCTGCTCGACCTCGTCGCCTGGGCCCGCCTTCCCGACCTGCCCGCTATGGGTCTGCCCACCCGATCTGCCCGTCTGGTTCTACCACTTGTGTTCTGCTCCTTGCCCCCCTTGTGCCAATTTCTCTCGTGCTCCATTCTTCTCCCTCCCCCTTCCACCCGTCCTCTCTTCCCTTGTTTTAGGGGCTGCACTAAATACACGTGGCAGGTAAGGAAGATGTCCCCGCAAGGGGGTACGATCGAAGCCGACGAGGGCGGGTACCGAGGGCTTGGGATGTACGTATTGATTGGCACGTCAGCAGACAGGAACGAACCATCTCAAAATGGCTGTTGCTGTTGTTGTTGCTGTTGCTGCTGTTGTTGCTATTGCTGTTGTTGTTGCTGTTGCTGCTGGTGTTGGTGTTGGTGTTGGTGTTGTTGCTGTTGCTGTTGCTGTTGCTGTTGTTGTTGTTGTCGTTGTTTGTTGTTTGTTGTTTGTTGTCGTCGTCCCCCCCGCGACCCACCCGCGACCCACCCGCGCGACCCACCCCGCGACCCACCCTGCGACCCTCCCCGCGACCCTCCCCGCGACCCACCCCGCGACCCAACCCGCGACCCACCCGCGACCCACCCCGCAACTCACTTGCGACCCACCCGCGACCCACCCCGCGACCCAACCCGCGACCCACCCGCGACCCACCCAGCGACCCATCCGCGACCCACCCGCGACCCACCCGCGACCCACTTACGACCCACCCGCGACCCACCCCGCGTCCCACCCGTGACCCACCCGCGACCGATCCACATTGGTTTGAAGAACAAATCGGCGCCTGCGGCGGGCCCGTTAGATGATTTAAGAAATGTTGGCGCCTGCGGCGGGCTTCTCCAGAGTCTCGCAGACTGCCGACGTCCCCACCACCCCTCACTCTTATCCGCATATGCGGGGTGCTACGTATTGGTGTAAGGCTATCATAATATGTGTATATATTCATGTACGAAAAAACACGTGTGTACGTATACATGTGCTCCAATAAATGTAGATAATTAAATCACGCGTGCGTGTAACATACAGGCATATATGCATGCAACTATGCATACAAACTTACATACGTCCATGTATGCATACATACGTACGTGCATACATACATACATACATACATACATACATACATACATACATACAGACATGCATACATACATACATACATAGATACATATATACATAGATACATGTATACATAGATACATACATACATACATACATACATACATACATACATACACACACATACATACATACATACATACATACATACATACATACATACATACATACATACATATATACATACATACATACATACATACATGCATGCATGCATGCATGCATGCATGCATGCATACATACATACATACATACATACATACATACATGCATACACACACGCATGCACACATACATTCATGCACACACACGTATACACATACAGTCATGCATTCATACATGCATACATGCATTCATGTACAAACCCATACACGCATACATGCATGCACACATTCATGTATGCATGCAAGCAACACACACATTCACGCACATACATACATACAGATACACCTATATACACGCAAACATACATACATATAGACATGCATGCATACATACATTCACACATGCATGAATGCATGCATGCAGACATACATACATATACTAATACATAACACCCCCCAGGTTCGGATCAGAGTGAGGGGGCGGTGGGGACGTCGGCAGTCTGCGAGACTCTGGGGAAGCCAGCCGCAGGCGCCAAAGCTTCACAAATTATACAACGAGCTCGCCGCAGACGCCGAATTGTTCTTCAAACCAATGTGGATCGGTCGCGGGTGGGTCACGGGTGGGACGCGGGGTGGGTCGCGGGGTGGGTCACGGGGAGGTTGCAAGTGGGTCGCGGGTGGGTCGCGGGTGCGTCGCGGGTGAGTCGCGGGTGGGTCGCGGGTGGGTCGTGGGGTGGGTCGCGGGTGGGTCGCGGGTGGGTCGCGGGTGGGTCGCGGGGTGGGTCGCGGGTGGGTCGCGGGGTGGGTCGCGGGTTGGGTCGCGGGGTGGGTCGCGGGGTGGGTCGCGGGTGGGTCGCGGGGGGGGGGGGGACGACGACAGCAAACAACAACACCGACAACAACAACAACAATCATTTTAAGACTGTTCGCCCTTATATGCTCGAGTGTCCAATAACGCGTAGCTCCCAAACCCTC